TCCTTCCTTCCTTCCTTCCTTCCTTCCTTCCTTCCTTCCTTCCTTCCTTCCTTCCTTTTTGCTTTTTAAAGGTGACATTTGATGGGCAGTGGTGGCAAACACCTTTAATCCCAGCACTTGGGAGTCAGAGGCAGGAGGTTCAAGGCCAACCTAGTATAAAGAGTGAGTTCCAAGACAGCAGGGATACACAATGAGCCCATTTTAAACACACATCACCAGACACCTCAAAAAAAAGATGGCATCTGAGGAGTATTCAAAGTTGTCCCTTAGTGCATGTGCACACACACAAACACATGTACGAACGCACGCACGCACGCACGCACACAGGCACACACAGGGCAGAATGAAAGTGATTAATAAGCTGATACTGCAATTCTACGTCTTCGTTGTAAGGCCTCATTAGTGTTATCTCCCTGCCTCCAGCCAGAGCAGCTCATGAAGCCTGTGCCATACTGAGTCATCACAAGCAAATTAATACCAGCGGCAATTTGCTCATTATCAAAAGGTTCCTTCAGGACACAGCTTCTCTCGTGTACTTGAGCAGTTTTTAAGGAGACAGTTTTCAAGACAGCTGTGAAAAATTGAACTGTAGACCAAAAACTAGAAGAAAGGATTTCATTCGGGGCTTTGGAGTTGGTTGAGGTAGAGGGAGGCAGAAATCAGGGGGAGATCAGCACCACAGCTGGTATGCACATGTTTATGGAAAGGTTTCCAGAAAACTCTTTGGCCTGAAATGCCCCTTTCCATCACCCCATGTCTACTTGCTACGTGACTCCTCATGTTTTACCACACAACTCAAATGCCATTCATTACTCCCGTTCCTCCAATATCAACAGCTGAAATTGACTTCCCCCAGGCTAACTTCAAGCAGGGCCTCTATCATGGCTCTTCTAGAGGTGCAGCTAATACTGATTTCTGCAAATGCCAGAGGACCAAGAACCAAAATCTTTCTCCAGCTGGCTGTTACAAACCATTATTATATTGGATATTACAGTTTTCTGAAATTTGCTTGGGCTTGATAAACTCGAGTTTCTAAAATATATAGAGCTGCCTGCCTACCTTTGTACGTGTCAAGCCAAGGACCCGTGTGCTTTCCTTACATCATCTATTGCCGAGCCCAACTTTATTCAATCACTTATTCATCTGCTCCGCACTGAGGCCCTGGGCATAAGGAGTACTTGCTAGAGACTATAGGCATCTGTTGTTCATGTTTCTCTTTGTTAACATATAAAATAATGAATTTCTAGGATGCTTGGGAAAGAAGGAAGACAGGGTATGGACTACCACTTCTTTTAGTCCTAGAAAAAGGCTGAACTATCAAACAGTCCAGAAAAGAGGGGACATCTCCTTAACAGAGTCCAAACACAGAGATCTCCAAGTCAAGGAGTCAACTAAGGATTGAGTGCTGAATCCAAAAGGTGGTGTCTAGAAAACAGCAAATACAGACAAATCTAGCCACACATTCATTCACAGGGACAAGGTTTCATGTGGCTCGGGCTGGCCTCAAACTCACTA